CAATTTTATCAAAATCCGACCCCAACTCGACCCTCAAATCTTCAATTTAAACTAAGAGGGTTTTCAAACTTTTCCAACTTAATTCGCCAATTAAATGATACAAACAACCATGGATTCGGGTAATTTAACCAATATTGAGTTAAAAACACTTAACCCGTTGTTTTCCTTGAAAAATTCCCGAAAATCGCCTCTTCCCGAGCTCAAATCCGTCAAAAACTGAAAATGGGAAGAACTTAAACTCTCTGTCCAGACCTCTCTTCTTCGCGTTCGCGAAGCACAACTCGACTGCCCACAAATTTAACCCTTCGCGAACGCGACCGTGGCTTCGCGAACGCGTTCGCGAAGCTTTGCAAATCTTACCCTTCGCGAGCGCGAACGCGAAGCTTTACCAGCTCAGACCTCCGCGAACGCGACCGCCACCTCGCGAACGCGTAGAACAAGGACCCGGGGGTCTCCAATAGCCTCACTCCTCTTCGCGAACGCGACACCTCTCACGCGTTCGCGATGCACACACAGACCATACCTTCGCGTCTGCGTCTGCGTCCTCCCCTTCGCGGACGCGAAGAACAAAACCTCACACTCAGAAAACACTCTTCACGAACGCGAGGGCCCACTCGCGAACGCGAAAGAGAAAATCAGAAAAATGCAGCAGCAGATATCAGCAATCTTACCAAGGCCAAAAATGATCCGTTAACCATCCAAAACTTACCCGAGCCCCTCGGGACCTCAACCAAATATACCAACAAGTCCTAAAACATCATACGGACTTAGTCGAATCCTCAAATCACCTCAAACAACGCTAAAACCATGAATTACACCCCAATTCAAGCCTAATGAACTTTGAAATTTCTAATTTCTACAAACGACTCCGGAACCTACCAAATCACATCTGATTTACCTCAAATTTTGCGCACAAGTCATAAATGACATAACGGAGGTACTCAAATTTTCAGAATCGGATTTCGACCCTGATATCAAAAAGTCAACCCCCGGTCAAACTTCCCAGAAATTCAATTTACGGCATTTCAAGCCTAATTCCACTACGGACCTCTAAATAATATTTCGAACACGCTCCTAAGCCCAAAATCACCATACGGAGCTATTGGAATCATCAAAATTTAAATCCGAGGTCGTTGACACATAGGTCCATATCCGGTCCACTTTTCTAACTTAAATTTTCAATTATAAGACTAAGTGTCTCATTTCACTCCGAATTCCTTCCGGACCCGAACCCACTAACCCGGTAAGTCATAAAACAACTATAAAGCATAAATTGAGCAGTAAATGGGGGAACGGGGTTATAATACTCAAAACGACCTGCCGGGTCATTACATTTCGCATGACACAATATATTGGACAAAATACAATATATTTGTATTCAATTCTTGAAAAATAATCCATTGGAAAATGATATCAATTTTTAAGTTTTCCGGCAGGTGCACTGTCAAAGACTATTGCCAAACATCACATCCTTTTAACCTACTTTTCGTCGGGCAATTTCTCCTTTTACAATAAAAAAGCCTTTGATAATTTTCAACCCTTGATCAAAAAATCTTTAGATAAGCATTATTTTGAAGGAAACTTTTTCTATGAAAAAACGTCGTAAATTGACCAGTTTCTTGTAGTGCGAGCCTTTAGAGTGTCCCTTTCTACACAATTGAGAATTGAATGATTGACACAAAATATTACTCCTCCATCCCATTTTATGTGAACTAGTTTTTGAACACATGCGTTACACGTGATTCTATATCGTCAATTATTATAAATATCATATAAAAAACAATACATCTTTAATGATATACATGTTCCAAGACCATCTGTTTGAATTATTAGTTTCACGGAGATGTATAAAGTATTCTTTCATTGGAAATATATCTTAATTTTTAAAAAGTTGATGTGATCTACCATATCCCTTTTCACCAATTGCGTGTGTGCCTATATAACATTCTTCCATGCACCTTATCAATATGTTACTCTATGCAAATGGTCCAAAAAATTTGCTCACCCATATTAACTATGCACTAATGCTAACAAAAAAATGACACAAGGCTATCTTAATATTTTCATTGCACAAACAGTTACCTCAATCTTTATTCAAGCAAAATAAATTATTCTAGGAAAAACAATAGTAAGTTGTGCTCCACATTTCATACATTGGATATTATATTGCGTTATCTTGATTTGGGGCTCTTCAAAGTATCTTAAGAAGGCATGAAAAAAATGAAGAGTGCACATGTACTTAGAACAACTATTATTTCTATACCTTTATTCAGAGTATGTTGGAGTCAAGGTATTACTATAATTTTTAGGCCTACCAAAGATTATTCCCTAAATTTTTGTAGACTATAAAATAAAATAATACTTACTTCGAGTTTATTTTCCTCTTATTGACAACCTCACTCGATCATCTACTAATTTAGCATATTTTACTAAAGTAATAAATTTATGTAAGACATGTCATAATGGTAACTCCCTTACTATTTGGACAAATAATGATCTAGCATTCTTTTGTCAATATGAAGATTCTAGTATCATCCTCCTCTAATTTTTATTCTTTATTCCTAATTTTGGACTTAACAGTCACTCCACATTCGAGTGTAGTTGGATAAGGTCTAAATCCATTTACAATTTTACCTTGTGATATCTACAATACAAATTGCAAACATAAAAATTAAAAAGACAAAAAATTTAGTTGTCAACAATAAAGTCACACATGTTATCCTTCAAAGAAATTGAATGACTTATGCTTATGAAAGTCTTCATTGCCACTTCGAAGAAAATGAGCATAGTTACCTAAAATATCAATATGTGATATTAATCATAGTTAAATAAAAGTTAATCAATTAAAATTCAACAAAATAGAAAAAGAAAGCCAAAAAGTAAATACATACACATTTACCCCCCTCACCCACCCTCACTCCCCCTCTTTATTTTTTCTCACCTGAAGAATTGTATTACCATGGAATTTAAGATGGAAGAAATATGTATTGATCCACCAGATTTGCTTTTCAGAAAAGTGAAGTAGTTGACAAATTAAGATACATTTAAAAAGGTTTTTAAAGAAAAGAAAAAAGATAGAATGCTTACACAATAAAATTGTAGCATCAGACCTCAAGCATCAAAAAGAGGATGGGAGCAAAATTGTGTCCTGCACAGACTAATCCATATAATCCACGGCTTTTTCTCTTCCTTTCTTCCCTAACTTCCATCCCTTCGTTCCCATTATATTTATGTTTGTATTAGCTTTAGTAGATTGAACGTGTTCTTTTATTGAGTTATTCAATGCAAATAACTCTTCATATTATTCTTCAGATTTTTTACAGCAACAAAGAGATTGTTGTTAAATTTAGAGGATAATTTGGTCATCTAACTTTTGAAGGATATTTTAGTAAAACAACTTCACCTATAAGTCTTCGTACTTATAATATAGTATGATGTGTTTAACTAGGCTCAGTTGCTCACAATATAAGAAATTAAAGAAGACTTGACATCTAAGCCAATTATACACAAAGTACCAGACTTATCCTTTTAAGTAAATGGTGGTGAGAGTTTCACTCTGTTCATTTTCTCTTTCCTTGTAAAAAAAATAAACTTTTATACTAAATGGGTCAGAACAAGTCATGCCGTTAAGATAATTTTCATCAAAAAAAAAAAAAATCATCAAAAGTCATGCCGTTAAGATAAATAGGGATGCTAACATTATATAGGTTCCAAAAGGAGAAGTGTGTCATTCTGAAAAGGAAAGTGTGTCAAATAAAATGAAACTGAGGGAGTAGTTACAATTTCAAGGCTGTTAGTGTTTCAGCTGACCACATTATTTGGATCCTCCCTTTCATCAGTTGACTCTTGGAAAGAAAGAAGGACGGAGTTTCGCATATTTTGTTTCCTCTCTTCTTCTACTTCATGCTTCTCAACAATTAGCAGATGCACCCCCGCACCAAAAGCTTTTAAAAAAAATATAAATGAGATAATATAGTTAAGTATTAAAATTCTTATTGACGAATGTTAAATTTACTTCAATTTTTACTTATAAATTTTTTTGTAATCAGGTGTTATTTATTATGTAGCGACTAATGATGACTATCTAATTCTTTATACAATAGTTAATTGTGTAAAAAGGATTCAATAATATTACCTTAATTATCAAATGAATGTGTAAAAATGATATAGTTAGTGGTATTCTAATGGATAAGTGTAAAATATAATACTCCTAATTGAAATGTTATATGTTTAACATATTGATTAAATTTTCTCAAAGTTATTTTTACTTAAACTGATTTCTGTAGTGTCTACAGTCATTTACTTACACGAGGTCTGACTCTTTTTCTTGGGTCAAGCATGTGGAACTTCTGATTTCTGACTACAGTCATTTGCTTAAATGAGGCCCGACTCTATTTCGTGGGCCAAACACATGAAAATTCTTTTTGATAATAAATGATAGTGAGATTTGAACTCTGGACCTTTGCCTGCTCTAATGCTATGTTTAAGAGTGTTACCATCTCATTTGAATGCTTAAATTGTTAGAGAGAGCACACCTCTAATTACTTTATTATAGAGGAATGCTGTGAAAGAAAAAAATGCACTAATGAAATTCAAATAAGGTCACATACTGTACTTTGAGGACATTTTACTTAAATTAAAACCATTATCAACTCGCCAACCATCAAATTAAAGCCTTATCAAGCAAGTGTGAATAAATTGGAAACCATTATGAACTTGCAAATCATCAATTTAAAGCCTTATCAAGAAAGTGGGTATAAATTTGAATACCTAGCCAGCCAAGTCTTTCATGGTGAAGTCATAGCTTTTACAAGCCTGTTAAGGAAAGCAGTTTAATAGAAACTAAAACTGAAAGAGAAAGAAGATGAATGCGTGTCAATTATAATAGGTAGTGGAGTAGCTCTGGTGAAAAGTATAGTAACAGAATTACTAAAAAGAATCTTAATATGCTAATGTAATGAGTGCTCTATTCTAATATGCCAAGAAAAATTTAGAAATTTAACAGAACCTTTAATAAATATATATTTATGCCAATTTTTCCTGCTAATGTGTTCACACTTGATTATACAAGTGGAAAGAGGAACATTTTTTTTTCTCTTTTTGGTCCGAGGGCGAATATCTATAAATCTGTCTCTTTTCACTCTGAATAAAACCATCTACAACACCTGCGGTGGTTGTCATTATTCAATTTGACCAAATACTTCTTCATTTGCTTTAGTTAGTACAATCTTTGCCACAGAGTCAGCCTTTGCCAATCAATGGAAGTTGAGACACTCATAAACAGGTCAATCAGCATTTTGGTTGTGGATGATGATGTCGTTTGTCTTTCCATTGTTGCTATGATACTCAAGAAATGTAAATACCAAGGTATGTGCCAATTCGTTTTTGCTATGTCGTCGTCTTGTTTTTTCTTCCCCTAATTTGGGATGGTGTCTTGCATGCATGAATTGCTTTTCATGCTACAATTTCTTTATGTTAGATAGCCTTAGCGGAAATCGATGTATCCTAGATTTGAAAGTGGTAAGCGTTAGATCTTTAAGTAACATGATGTGTGAATTCAAGTTACTTACCAGATGTACCAAAGTTATTCGTACTTCCTATTTAGGAACAGAAATGGAACGATTAATTTAAGGTGCCACTTCATTAGCTCTTCTTTGGATTCGATGTGAGTATGACTTGCTGAAGAATGAAAGGGAATCCCAGCCAGTGCTTTAAGAGGCGTTTTTGGGGTGAATCCCGGGGCGAGCCCCGGGGAGGCATAGTAAAAACGCAGGGGGGAGGGGAGTATTGCAAGGCATAAGCCTCGTTGTTCTGGGCGTATGCTTGGGCGTTGGGTGAGTTTTTGTTTTGGGGCATAAGCCCAAAAAATCTTTTTAAATTAGAATTAAAATTACAAGTCCTTAATTTAATACCAATAAACACAAAAATCAACTTGTTATTACATTCTAAAAAGTTAAAAAACTTAAAAGTCAAAAGTTTTTTTTATTGTTAGCCCTAATTTTTATTCTCTCTCTTCGTCCTCTACCGGGTAAAGGAAAAAAATGATCAATTTGCAAACTTAAAAACAAAAATGCATCATCCTTCATGATTTGTGGTTCAACACTTCTAATTGTAGGTTCCTTCTTTGCTTTTCTTTCTTTTCAAGTTATTTTGCTTTTACAAGTTAGTTTATAAATTTCTACTCAATTTCTTTGCCAAAGTTTGATTAGCTTTTTTGATGAAGCAGTTTTGATTAGTTTTTTAGTCAATTGCTGATTCAAATTAGCATTTTAAGATGAAGTAGTTCTATATACATTTCATTTATTTTATATTTTCTTGAAATTTCTATAATTTCTATGTAATTTTACTTTATTGTAATATTTATTTTTATTATATTAATTTATAAAAAATTAAAAATTAAAGATCCATGGGGCTTACGCCTAGCGTCTCGAGGCTTATGCCTCGCCCTAATACGTAAAACGCCTTGCCTCGCGCCTCGAGGCTTTCAGTCTTTTCTATTATAAGGCAAACCACATAGAGGAGTCTCTCAATAGATTGGTTGAGATGTTCTTTACCAAGCATCCAATGCTAATGACAGTACCAGCAAACTAACATTCTTTTGTATTTTTCAAGCTCCACATATTCTTGTATAGTCAAAGGGCCAAAAGATTTTGGTTATTTCAGATCATCAACATAGGCCTTCTCACCCTTCTCAAACTCCCCCCACTTAAAAGAATAAAGTTCTATTTAATTCATGATATTGTGAGAATAGTCAAGACACAATTTCTTTTTTCTTTTCCAGTTATAGTAAGAAATTTTAATTAGATTCACAAGAAAAAGAAAAAAGGAATCTAATGAATCTGATAACGATATTTAAGCACATCTGTATTTATGGAATCATCTTTATTTCCACAATAATAGATCTAACATCAGCATATGTATGGAAAATGTAGGTCCTTTGCTTTTGCTATTAATCTTGATGTCAGAACTTATAGGCGACTTAATGTAGGATATTGTTATTTGGATTTTAAAATGTTTCTATATGGAGCAGGTGTCATTTCTCCTTCATAATGCATCTAATCAATAAACTATTTTGGTTTTACTCCAGTTGTGACTGTCAAACATCCAATGGATGCTTTGTCTATACTTCGGATCAAAGGTGGCTCTTTTGATCTCGTTGTCGTCGATGTGCACATGCCTGATATGAATGGCTTTGAACTTCAACAAGTGATAACCAACGAATTTGAGCTACCTGTTGTTTGTAAGTCTGGTTCTTCTTTATTCAATTTTATTTTGCATGAAATGTTCAGTATTGTATTCCCTGATCGTTAAAAAAAAGGCTTATGATCTAAGCTTACATATTGAATGTCAGTGATGTCAGCTGATGACAAAGAAGGTACGATCCTGAAAGGACTAGACGGTGGGGCTGCATTTTTCCTTGTTAAGCCTATATCAGTAGATGATCTAAGAGATCTATGGCAGTACGCACTGTTGCAGAAGAAGAAAGGTAAAAGAGTTGTTCTTGAGGAAATCGATTGTTTGGAGAAAAGTTCCAATTGCAATAAGAAAAGCCTTCATGAAGTCGGGGAGTCTGTATCATCTATCAATGAAAATTGCTATCAACATATCAAGAAGGAAAAATCTAAGAGGAAATCTGCAAGAACACAGAGGAATGCTGATAAAGATAACAGTGGTAATTCTGCTGCACCATTTAAAAAGGCTAAGGTTGTGTGGACAAATTCACTACACAACAAGTTCTTGGAAGCCATCAGAGACATTGGATTTGACAGTAAGTTGCATATTCACATTATTAAAAAGAAATCTTCCGAGGTGTCAAACTTAAAGGAACATTAAATTGTTAATATTTTGCTACCTGAATTTTTCATGCAGAAGCTGTGCCAAAAAAGATTCTTGATCAAATGAAAGTCCCTGGATTAACTAGAGAAAATGTCGCCAGCCATTTGCAGGTTTACTTCTAAATACATATGTTTAATATAATTGGTATCATGGCTTTCACATGTTAAATAGGTGAAGTGATGTTTGATTTCTGAATTACTTGCTTTGAACTAGTCCATGTAGGTGAAGTAATGTTTGATTTCTGTATTACTTGGTTTGAACTAGTGCATAATTTCATAAAATAGGAGAACACAGATTTCCGTGTTTGTTTTACTTCAATTATTAAGATATTCTTGACTATCTATATGGATATCAACCGACCATTAGCTTTTATCATTAGAACCTCACTTTGTTTGATTCTTATATTATGACAATGTAACACCCTTTTATTCGAGTCATACCCACCGCTTCTTATTACGGTACATTACATTTTTTTTTCAGTTACCATCAATTAATTTTTAAGTTGGAAAACTTTTTACAGTGTATTACCTCTTATCATTTGTAAAGTTCACTCTCAATAGTGATTATTAGTCTCTGTTGCTCGTATGAAGAGATGAATGTCATTAATGTTATAATACAGTACGAACTCTTATGAATAAAAAGATGATAAACATTAAAAATATGAAAACAAGATTAGGTCACCACCCGAAATTAACTTGATGGTGAACAGATTTGCATCAATGAACGAAAGAGAGAAACTCGGCCTCTTATTTTGTTAGTATATCTTCTTCGCGTTCTTGGGTTATCTCTGTCTAAATGTTAACAATAAAGACCAGAAATGTGAATATGATGAGGATATGCAGTCGATAGTAAAAGAAGAGCTCTTTCATGATTTAGGGAGAATTGACAGGAGAATAAAGGAAGGAGCTTAAGTTCTATGTACTGGCGGTATAAAAATATTTACACGATCAGGTCACTTGTAAGATAATTACAACAAGATCTTATGATAATTATCAATTGGTGATCTGCTAATTATGGTTACTTGCTATCACAGCTTAAACTACACTGATAACGTAAAAAATGTTTTACATTGTCCACGTATATCTCAAATGCTAGAATATAGTAAATTGTTGATTGCTTGAACTCTTCTAAGATATGTGAAGAAACTTCAGAAAGTTCCTTGTATACGAGTTCAATAAGGATATAAAATTAAAATCATTAGAAATTATGCTAAGCATGTAAAAGATTTCTACAGAATCAATAATGAAAATCAAATCTAAAGATATGAATTCAAGTTTTATATACTAATGACCTTATAAAAAAAAGAAGCTATATATACTAATGATGCGAAAAATTCTTATATTAGTGGTTACTTTCTGTTGCTATTGGTCTACTTTTTGCTTGGGGTTGTAGCGCGTTATATATTTTCTTTTACAGGTCACTTGTTCACCTTTTTTTATATATAGTAGTTACCTCTAGTTGACTTTAAGTAACCTTTTATCTAAAGTCTTTTATACGATATATCAGTGTACTTAACATATCATGTTGCAGTGGATTTAATCTAGCTACTAAGTTTGCATACTATGGGAAAAAAGTAATTTTAATAATTAGCTTACTTTAGGAACTTGGTTTGCTGATGACAGAATTGTGACTTTAAATTAACATTCCTAAAACTTAGGTAGCCTTTTTAATTTGTTCGGTCCTAATTATCAATTCTTCTATTCATTCCAAGCAAGTTGTGCTAATTTTGCAGAAATATCGTATTTTCTTGGAACGAGTCTCTGATGCATGCTGTAGAATACAAGCTGCTGACACAAGCTTAGGAATGCTCAGTCAGGAAAAATTTGGACTGCAGAAACAGTTCTCTGAAAACACCACTAACCCCCGGTCATTGATTCACACTGCAAACAATGGCAGTTCGTCTTTCAGAACCCAGCAAACAAGACAAACTATACCGTCAGGATATGAACAAGCACAGTTGTTTCTCAATGAAGATAATTTGGGTAATATAACACATAGCAATGAGAATCCACTGTATAAGGCTAATCAGTTGCCTAGCACAATGAAAGCAAAAAACTATCAAACGGGATCATCGGCTTATGAAGATATTTCATCTCAGCTCATGAATGGTACTACTTCAACTCAAGTTCGTAGAATGCTTTCTGGAAATCCTGCCAATAGGTTATCTGGTAGGAACTTACTAGCATTAGGGACCAATGGTATCACAATGCACGCTACCCTTAACGGAAATTTGAACTTTCTTCGTGATGGCTTTGCTGATGACCAATGTGGTACCAATTTCACCCAAAATAACGATGCTGATGAGGCATCTACTCTTTTTACTGGTCACATGAACGTCATTGGTAAAAGTCAACATGACTCTGAACAATGTTTGGCTCAAGAGGCATCTTCTTCGGATGGATTTGATGGAGAAAAGCAATGCTCCGCCATATTGTCTGATCATATTGATGAAGAAACTTATATGCAACTGCCATCATTTGTTAACGGTGTTTGCAGGGGGCAAGAAGTCGATGCTATGCTCGATCCGGTTTGTAACTTCTCTGAGTTTCACAACACTAATGCTACGCAGCAATCACGAGGCATTGGTGATCTTAGTGTTTCTTTCGTGAATCAAGGGAACGTTCTACCTCATCAGGTATACATTTCTTGAGCATTTTTCTTTATTCCTCGCCAATATGCAATCAAAACAAATTAAACATTATACTCTTCCATATTCTCTAATAATTCATGTTTTTCAGGGTTGAACTTGATCTTTTCTCGATCTGAAAATAATTATGGAACGATTAAAAAAATAATATTTTGGATATGTAGATATTATGTTATAAAGTTAATACAAGTTGAGCCTTTCAGAGTTTAATATGCTTGACTCTCGAGGAATGAAAAGGTGACAGACAATTTAGAGCAAAGAAAGAAAGAACAGAAGTTTAATTACCTATAAATGATCAAAATAGATGAAACTTGCCTATAAATGAAAAAGAAACAATGTATGTAGCACATTAATGAAGATGGGATGATTTTCAACTTCAATGATGGTAGCAATCAGGGGAGGATTATTTGCAATGGTTTGGCCAAATACCATTCAAGGCAAGTTTCTTTTTCATCACCTATAAATGAAAAAGAGCGCTGGAATGTATTGGTTTGTTCATCCAAAGTTCTCTCTTGCACATGCATTACCAAGTAATATCATATTTTGTTGTTCATTGAAACTCACTAAAGTTTGAAATCATTTTGTTCTTTTAAAGAGAGCGATAAATTGTGCCGAACCAAATTATAATAAAAAAATAATTTAAGATTGTTATGCATTTTTCCATCTATCATAATGTCTTTAAATTATTTCTAATCCCATCCTTTGTACCATCCAACTTAATGTATTTAACATCCTAATATTTTTTAAGCAAACATCGACTTTAGCCTATCTAGATAAAGAGTTTAACCATCTCTATCTGTTTTTGCTTCCCCGAATTAAGGGATGGAGATATGATTGAAGGTTTTGATAAGTGGGTTGCAGAAGCCTTTGGGAATTGGAGAAGATTAAATTTCAGTTTTATTTGGTTGCATGCATTCTTTAGAGAATTGGGTAAAAAGTTGAATGTGTTGAAAAATAATGCAAGAGTAAAAGTTAATTTAGGGAACATATACTCGTTATTCATAATACATTATTACTCTCTGTTATATTCTTTTTCTTGAAATGGTTGTAGCAACAAGACCACATAGGTCATACCGAACCTGCGGAGGATGGCATGTCTCAGCTTCATAATGTCTTCTCATATCCTACTGAGGTGTGAATTCTTTGGTTTTAGTTAAATTCGTTTTGAACGTTGAATTATTGGATGTCGAAAGTACACTAACAAGTACTTTGTCGTTACATTTTTTCAGCAATGTAAAGATGAAGAGTTTTTGGAGCTGGTACTTGCTTCAAGCCCTTATGAAGATGATCAAAACCCAGACGGACTTTAAAGCCATTGCTGATGAAGATATTGCTAGTATGTCATAAACGCTTTTACTGAATAGTCAATACTAGCTGTATGAGCAAAAAAATATTTAGTCCCAGAATATATTTTGAAAAACAGTTTTATAGCAACAATAATTGTTGGTGCTAGTCTGCTAGAGACAATTTTAATTTATTGCAGCGAGCGGATTATTTTGTTACAACATGTTGCAGGAAAATCATGGCAATATGTTCATTTTAATATATGCAAACAAACAGAAGATTCGTCGCAATAGTGTATTCTAACTTATTGGAATACACCTTATTCGTCACAAATGTGAATTTGAGCAACATACTTTTTGTTGCTAATTAGTATTTATGTATGTCACCGATGCCCCGGTTAGGAGGTGTAAGAGGTTGACCATAGCGGGTCATAGGAGGGGTAGAGGGAGGCCTAGGAAGTACTGGGGAGAGGTGATTAGGCAGGACATGGCACTAATTCAGCTTACCGAGGATATGACCCTCGATAGGAAGATGTGGAGGTCGAGAATTTGGGTTGTGGGTTGACAGGTAGTCAAGAGTTTCTCCTAGTCTCACCAGCATTATTAGTACTAGTCTTATATTTTACTATTCCTACTTCCTTGTTATTACATAGCGTGTCATTCTTACCGGTAGTACTGGCACTGTTCTTGTATTTTCGTATTCGTAGATCCTTGTTATCACATTCTGTGCCATTTGCTTCTGTCGTCCTATTACCTTGTTGATGCTATTGTTTGTTTATTGCTTCCTTTTCTATTCTTGAGCTGAGGGTCTACCGGAAACCTCTCTACCTTCATAAGGTAGGGGTAAGGTCTGCATACACACTACCCTCCCCGAATCCCACTTGTAGGATTTCACAGGGTTTGTTGTTGTTGTTAGTATTTATGTATGTCGTGAAGATTGCATTTTGTATCAATAGAGTCGAAATTGATTTCTATAAAAGTTTTCATTTGCATTTACATTGGTTAGTTTTGTCCGGTAAATCGGGATTTGTTGCTACAAAATATTGTCTATCAAAAAAAGAATAATCTTTAGCAACTGCTGGTACACGAAATACTTTCATGTTGTTAACCAAGAGTGTCCATATGAATGAGACGCGCTATCTGATGATCAGGTTGCGACTCAACATCAGTTGTAGAAGTGCTTTGTATTTTGGTTGAACCTTAAACTTGAGAAAGTAGTTCGTCGGCGGTGATTGTGTCTTGAAATGATCTGATCGTTTTGATTTTTGAACTTATGAACGCCCTAATCTTAGTAAACGAAGTCTTACCTCACAATGATAGCTCCCAGCAAAATTTCGGCTATGACTCTAACTTGTCTTATGCCTAGTTATGTGTTAAATAAATGAGATTATATATGGATGAGTGTATAATATACAATGTTGAAATTGTGGATATGAGTGTAGGATATGGTTTGGGGTTGAGCTGGAAGTGGTATTGTAGCATAAGAGGAGCTAGGTAGGCCGGACCCTATTCGCATTGTGAGGGTAACGCATGTGGCATGATTTTGGCCAAGATTTCCAAGAGGAGGCAGGACAATTGGACTAAAGAGCAAGGTTATAGTGTGAACCTAGTCTAAAGGTTTAGACAGTTCACTTTATAGTCTCGCGTAGTAGTGTAAAGGTGATTTTTGGTCCAGGGTTAGCTCACGTTACAACATGAATAGCGCGAGCCACGACATTTTGGCAAAGCTGGCTAAGAAATGAGGCAGTGCAGTAAAGGCATGTTTTGGCCAGACCGCCAGGTCGCGTAATAGCACTATCGTGTGAAGAAGAAATTTTCTTCCTCGCAGTACTCACGCTAAGGCGAGAGTGGTCTGAGGCCTCAGGTCTATAAATAGTGGAATATCGGGATTTTCTGTCACGACCCAGTTTCCCCTTCGTATGACGTCGTGACGGCACCTAGTCTCTACGACTAGGTAAGCCTAACATTTGCGGAATAATGAAATGAAAATATAAATTTAACAACTAACTGTAGCAGTAACAACATAACTGGGTACCATGCCGCCTGGCATGTACAATAACCAACTATTCAAAATACACAGAAATCCCAAAATCCGGAACATCGTGAATCACAAATTACAGAAGGAAAGTCTAGTGTCTCTATACATCAGAGTCTAACAAAGGAAAAATACAGAAGATAATGGACATGGGAAAGAGTAGAAGGGAACTCCGAGGTCTGCGGACGCGGTAGATATACCTTGAAGTCTCCAAAGTTATCCCTGCTCACTAATAATGCGGCTGATAAAGAGCACCTGGATCTTCATACGAAAACATGTGCAGAGAGTAGTATGAGTACACCACAATCGGTACCCAGTAAGTGCCAAGCCTAACCTCGGTCGGGTGGTGACGAGGTCAGGTCAGGGCCCTACTGGTGTGTGTGTGTGTGTGTGTGTGTATATATATATAATAAAAACAAGGTAGAATAAAATACCACAGTAAAATAAAGACTGAAATTTAACAGGAATGAAATCATAGAAGACAACAGCTCAGTACACAGAGATAACAACAGGGGATCTCCCGAGATACCGTCTCGTAGTCCCAAACATAAATGTGTAGTACAGGGGATATCCCGAAATACTGTTCCGTAGTCCCAAAGTAAATATGTAGTACAGGGGATCTCCTGGAATACCGTTCTGTAGTCCCAAAAGTAAATATGCAGCTCAAACAATAAAATTAACAGGTACAACACGAAATCCTACAATTTAGGCAAAGTACAAGTCAAGGAAAAGCAAGAATTTCACTAAACATGTTGCACCGAGTTCAGATAAGTAATTAAGACAAGTAGACATGCTATTCTAAGCTAACAGGATACTACACATGCTGATGTAACTCAAATAAGAAGGAAACATGTTATTACTTAGCAGAAATCAGGTTTTTACAACAATTAGCACGTGTACGTACTCGTCACCTCACGTACACGACGCTCAAATATCAAAACAGTACCAAATCCTAAGGGGATTTCCCCCACACAAGGTTAGGCAAGCCACTTATCTCGAACCAAGCTCAATCAATCGGTCACAATGCCTTTCCCACGAATATCCCGCTCCGAATGGCCCAAATCTAGCCAAAAGCAATTACATATCATAAATACAACCATAATAGACTCATCTAATTAATGAAATCAATACTTTAACAAAAATTTCGAAATTCGCCCTAAAAAGTTTACCGGGCTCACGTCTCGGAATCGGACAAAAATTATAAAATCCGAAAGCCCATTCACTCACGAGTCCAACTATACCAAATTTATCAAAATCCGACCTCAAATGACCACTCAAATCCCCAAATCAAACTCTTCAAATCCCTAGCCTCCAACTCCCAATTTTTACCTTAAATACACACTAATTAGGTGGGAAACTAAATGGGGAAGCAATATTATTAATAAAAAATAAGCACAAGGGACTTACCTCAACAAACCCCTCAAAATGCTCCCAAGAAATCGCCAAACCCGAGTTCAAAATGTTGAAAATGAGCAAAAATCGCGAACCTTTGCATTTAAGTGTTCTGTCCAGAAATCTCGCACCTGCGGACTCTCTGTCACATTTGCGACGCCGCACCTGCGGAAATGCCATCGCAGTGTGGATTCCACTTAGAATCCCAGGTTCCGCTCCTGCGGCTATGCGACTATCGCAGGTGCGGAAATGCATCGCACCTGCGGTTCCTGCCCAGCTCCTTCTTGGCCGCATCTGCGGCTCCTCCTTCGCACATGCGATCCCGCACCTGCGGTCTCCCCTCTGCAGGTGCGAAAATACCAGAAATCAGAAAATCTTCAGCAACTAGCCTAAGTCCAAATTCAATCCGTTAAGCATCTGAAACATACCCGAGACGCCCGGAATCTCAACCAAACATACCAACAAGTCAGTGTTTTGGAGAGCGAGAAGCGAAAAAAAGCGAGGAGGCCTCGCTTCACCGAAGCGAGAAGAGAGAAGCGCGCGCTTTTTTCATGTAAAGTGCAATTTAACACATAAATAAATAAAAATTAAATAGGCATAGATAAATGACCAAGAACTCAATAAAAATAGCATATTAAGCAAATGTTTCAATTCTTAAATCAAGAAATAAATAATAGATGCTAAAATTAGATAGTCAATAATCCTCAAAAGTCATAACATATTAAGCAAATGCAAAACAAAACAAAATCACAAGCTGGATCTCTTTTTTGGCTTGATGTCATTGAATAATAAGATTGAATTTACTATAATCAACAACCAAAAAAAAAAAAAAGAACAGTTAAACAGTGAACAGTGAACAGAGAATAATAGCAGAAATTTAAAAAAAACAGAGCACAAGCATAAATTAGAAAACAGGGTTGAACAGAGAAAAAAGTTCTGAAAAAAATAGAAAAAAAGAAGAGAACAGAGGAGATGAGTCGAATCAGTGAACAGTGAAGAACAGAAAAAAAATAAAAATAAATAGAGCACACAGAGAAAAACAGAGCATAAATCAGGGCAGAACAGAGCAATAAAAACTAAAAAAAATAGAAAGAAGAAGAGAAAAAGGAGTTGAGCAGTGAACAAGTAGAGAAAATCAGAAGAGGAAGAGAAGAGAAGAAAGAACTGAAGAAGAAGAAGAAGAAGAGAAGAAGAGAAACTTACTCGAACATTGTAGTCGTCGCTTGCAACACAGAAGCAGATGTCTGGAAGTATTGTGCGTAAGTGTATTTGCAAGTTTTTTTTAAAAAAACCTAGCAGATGGCTGGACCTCGCTTAAGCGAGCTTTTCTGCGCTATTTTCATCGCCTCGCTTCTCGCTTTTTAGGGTAAAGCGTGCGCTTATTCATGTGGGTCGGGCTTTAGGGCAGAAAAGCGCAGGTCAGTTGCCTCGCCTCGCATCCAACAATGCTAAAAACACAAATCACCCTCCGATTCAAACTTAATGAATTTGAAACTTTAAACTTTTACAACCGATGTCGAAACCTATCAAATCACGTCCTATTGACCCCAAATTTTGCACATAAGTCGTATTCAACATTACGGACCTACTCCAATTTTCGAAATCGGAATCCGACCCTGGTGTCAAAAAGTTCACTACTGGTAAAAATCTCCAAAAATTCGACTTTCGCCATTTCAAGCCTAAATGAGCTACAGACCTCCAAAACACAATTCGGACACACCCCTAAGTCCAAAATTACCGAACGGAGTTAACGAAACCGACGAAACTCCATTCCGGAGTTGTTTTCACACAGTTTTGACTACGATCAAAATTCTAAGACTTAAGATTTTATTT